CAGCACTCACGTGGTGGCGTCGCGGAACGAGATTGTGTAGACGCGGGATGAACGCACGTGCTCCCGTGTGACGTGACGATAAACCCACGTGGCGTGCTCTAACCAAATAGGATTTGTTCCAACAAGTGTTCGGGACGAGTAACAGCGACAGAAACTACAGTATTCATGATGTGCTTCACTTGCAAGGACATGTTAACATCGGGCAAGGCGCCCGTGATGAAAGAAAGGTTAAGTTGACCTATGCGCTGCTTCGCACGCTGCTCATGGTTCTCTTTAGTGAGAGATGGAGTTATTTTTTGAGTCTGCATCATCATTTGTCGAGATGCTGATGCTGAAATTTACGTTTAAATGTAATTAGGGGAATACTTGGGGAGTTACAGATATAGTTATACGGAATAGTGTTTCAGGTAATGCTGTTCCAATTTTTAAAATAGTGCTCCATGATAGCTGGGATACATTGTATATATGTGAAACATACGGAAATGCGGGTATGCAGGCTATGTTATTCCCCAATATTCTATTAAATGGTTGGACTATTCACGAAACACAAAAATAAAAACTAGGATTAATATACGAATGACCAAGGAACCAAGCAATCAAGAGCCATTTCTCACAACAAAGTCGTATGGATAGCTTTTTATGAATATAGATGCATAATGACTATGCGAAACGTTCATTGACACCTGTAGAGTATGAAAGGGAGCAATAATAACACTCGAAAGAGTTCACTAAGCTTGTGGTCTTTAAGAAATTCCTAAAAGCGCTCACTGTGCAAAGACTGACTGTCCGGCCGTGGCCACAGTCCGAGCACTTTGCTAATTGTGGTCACAATTAGCAAAGTGCTTCGAAAGGCTTGAGGAAAGGGCTCGAGCGTCTCGAGCAACCAAATCTGCTCAGGGCTGTTCAACCGGTCACTCAAATGAAGGCGCTGTTATTTGTAGTTAGGGCAATATAGAGTGCGCATTGATTTTATACTTGTCCGACTAATATTTATGTTCATTATGCCTATTTTAAATATTTTAAGCTCTTGCAAGACTACTTTGGGCTCTGCATACAAAACCGCTAAGATTGTTTTATTATTTTAGACCAGACGTTACAAATATTTATGCATTTGGCACTGTATTTGTGTTTTACCCATGAAAACGAAACATTAACCTGCAGAAAAATTTAATATCCGTCCACTTTTCACGTTTATAAACATTTTCGAAACCCATCGACCATGTACGGCTGATTCCTTAGCATTACCTTCCAAATACAACAGTACTATCAAACTTATATAAAATGCCAAAGTCTGACAAAGTACAAGTGTTTAGTCGAAGACACCATGAAACCGGTTTCTGGGGTGACTTTCTACACAAAGGCGCTCAGCGGGAAGCTTACCACTTTTCACTTTTATCGGTTATACCGGCACACCAGCCAATAATATATACGCTCTACACGTTTCCATGACACTCACTTCTTTCATGAAAACAAAATACCATATGCCTGCGAGATCAAGCATTACACTCTACTAAAGAAAAAGATGTTCATCCATGAAAGTTGACTCAGCGCTTCTCGCGAAGCACTTTACTTCGGTCTGTGGAGCCGAGAACTAATATTTCTTACTCCCCGAAGCGATAAATAGCAGCTCAGACAGGGAAGCAGCAGTACACAGAGCCGAAGAAAGGCGCTACTGACTCTAGCACAAATAATGCTACAAGATGGGACGAGTTAGGGACTCGTCTACTTCCGGAACAACGTCATTGATCTAACCCCGAGGGCGAAGAAAGAAGCTAGCTTGTCTTCTCTTCACTATATGCAGGGAAATGTTTTCATTTTTTTTCTTTTGCGTCAACGTAGTTAGGAAGCGTCTACGTGGTACCGGGCGTATCATGTGCGAGCGCGCTTGGCATACGTCCGGCATCGAGAACCCGGAGAGCCCAGAAAAATATGAACCAATCGGCCATGCATAGATAAGGCAAGGTCACACGGATTGTTGAGTGAAGTGAATGAGCACACTAATAAACAACACTTCGAAGCCAATCTGTGTGACGCAGTTTTATACGAAGAAAAGATTGTAAGGTTTTACTTCTTATGTGGATATCAGACGGGAGTGCGGCCTCTATATGTACTGCTGGAAGATTACATCTGTAACGGTAGACGTACTGTAGCTTTGGGCAGCGAAAAAATTTTTGGAAATGGTTAAACATGTGTCGCGATGGCGAACGTTTCGAAAAGCGGACTTGTCTTCGTGAAAGAAGCCGCTACTTTTGTTAGCAACGTGTAAAGACTTCGCACGCTATTTCCACGTTTAACTTATTTTCACTTTTTTAGCCTATACCTGACAAAGAAGACTAGTGCTGAGTAGATTTGCCATATATACTAAAATGTCGTTAACCTCTAGGTTTTTTGCGTGCGAATGCTGTAGTGTCTGGTCTGTCCTCTTATTTCGCGCTTCTTTCGACCGCGCGTCTCTTGTTATCTGCGAACACTCCCCAAGGAATCACAATATGATTGTGACGCAATCTGTGCTGTGGGATTCGGGTCTTAGATAACACGTGGTTCAATAACCGGCACCTGGATTAAAGCATGCACTTCCTTTCGTGACTTTTCTCTGTGCAAATGTGGCCCGTGTTGCGGGTAATTGAACCGGCACCCTCAAGCATAGCACGAAATATCTTAGCTGCATTAGGCTAGCTTAGTGGCTAAAAAGTAATTACTAACAGATATTCTCACTGCAATTTCCAGGCTTAGCAAACGCATTGTAATTAATAGCCACATTTCATAGCGCTGGGAAAGATGGACAGAAAGTCATGCAACAATGACGAGCGCATATCTTCATGGCCACATACAACGTGAATTCATAGGTCTAACAAGCTTATCTAACTATACGTGACTCGTAGAAGTTCATAAGTGTGCCAAAAAAGAGTTCGCCTGCTTCAAGTTTTTTTTTTATTTTCGTGTATACGTTAGCGTAGCACTCTAGGCTTGAAAATCAAAGGGAATGCGTTGTGTTAACTTAAATAGGAGGCGTACGCTTTGACTCAATGAAACAAGGTCATTATTAAGCCTTCGCAACAAAATACAAAAAGAATAACTTTGTATGGTGGCCACCTGCAATTCTTTGTGGCAGTAATTACCAAAAGATTATTAAATGTTTGTTTTTTACGAGGAATTACACTTGGATAGTTGTAAATAATTTCCGATAACATGTATGTTACGGAATATTCACATATAAGATTCTTTGGAGTCAATGAATTTCGCAATAAATGAACTTACACAACAGGCTAAACTCCTAGTAAATATTGATATTATCTGGAGTTTTGCGAGCCGAAACCAGGATGTGACCATTAGGCATGCTGTAGTGGAGTACTGCAGAAATTTTGAACACCTGGTGCTCTTAAGCGTAACAATGGACCTCCTGAAAATGGTGGAGAAATTGTGTTATAAAGATTAGCCACCTTACATACAAAGTGTCTCTTGACGGGAAGGGACCAAAATCTTGGAAGAACGCCAACATCATCTTAATCCATAAGAAAGGACACGTCAAGGACTTGAAAAATTACAGGCCGATCAGCTTACTCTTTGTTCTGTACAATTTATTTGCAAAAATAATAGCTAATAAATTGCAGATGATTTTAGATTTGAATCAGCCAATGCATCAAGCAGGATTTCGTTTCATATTCATACTATCAATAGACCATATTCATACTATCAATCAGGTAGTAGAGAAATGCTCTGAATACAACCAACCGCTATACATAGTTTTCATGGATTACGAGAAGTAGTTCGACTCATTCGAGAAATCAGCAGTAATGCAGGCCCTACGGAATTAGGGCATCGAGGAACCGTACATAAACATACTGGAACAAATCTACAGAGGATACACAGCCACCATAGTTCTCCATAAAGGAAGCGAAAGAATCCCAATAAAGAAGGATGTAAGGCAGGGAGACACGATCTCTCTAATGCTATTCACTGCGTGTTTACAAGAGGTATTGAAGACCCTAGACTGGGAAGACTTAGGAATAAGAGGACGTGGAGAGTACCTTAGTAACCTGTGATTCGCTGACGACATTGCCTTAATGAGTAACTCGGGAGACCAATCACAGTTCTAGAATACTGAACAGGACACGGAAAGCAGAAAAGTAGGTCTCAAAATTAATATGCACAAAACCAAAGTAATGTTCAACAATTTCGGATAAAAACAGGACATTGTGATACTTGGAGAAACGCTGGAAGTTGCAAAGGAATGTATCTACTTGGGACAGGTAATAACCGCGGAGCTGAACCACGAGATTGAAGTAACAAGACGATTAAAAATGGGGTGGAGCACATTTGGCAAGCACTCTCAAATCTTGTCTGGTAGATTGCCACTATGCCTCAAGAGGAAAGTATATAACAGCTGCATCTTGCCCGTACTTAGCTACGGAGCAGAAACCTGGAGACTTACAACGAGGTTTCGGCTTCAATTGAGGACGACGCAGCGAGCGATCGAAAGGAAAATGATAGGCGTAACCCTTAAGAGACAAGAAGAGAGCAGAGTGGATTAGGAAACAAGTGGGGGTTAAGAATATTATAGTTGAAATCAAGAAGAGGAAATCGACGTGGGCCGGGCAAGTAGCGCGTAGACAGGATAACCAGTGGTCATTAAGGGCGAATAACTTGATTCCCAGAGTAGGCAAGTGGGTTAGGGGGAGACAGAAGGTTAGGTAGGCAGATGATATTAAGAAGTTGGCGGGTACAACTTGGCAGCAGCAAGCACAGGACCGGGTTAACTGGCGGAACAGGGAGAGGCCTTTGTCCTGCAGTGGACGTAGTCAGGCTGATTATGATGATGCAGCAGACGCTCTCCCCACCCGCTCCCGACCCTGCCGCCTTCATAAAAGCCAGCAGCAATATCAGGCGCACAGACTATTGCGTTGTAATGGTACACGAGACAACTGATAGTTTTTTTTAAATATTAGAATAAATCAACACCCGTTAAACAATCAGACATATGAATAGCCGGCATTCCTTACAGTAGACGACGAGCCTCCAGTCGTCGAGCAATGAGCTGTTATCGAGAAGAGGGTTGGAAGCCTCGCACGTCAACAGCTTCCCGTCGTGCTCCCGCCGGGGCGTGTAGCTCACCGCCGACGTGGTCGAGTTCTCGTCCGGCGACACGAAGAGGTACGCGTCCGAGAGGAGCTCACCGTCCAACCGCCAACGAATTTCGGCCGGTGGACGCGAGCCGGAAGTGATGCACTCCAGTTCCACGGACTCGCCTTCGAACAGCTGGCCCCTGTTAGTGATGCGCGTTACCTGCGGAACCACTTCGAGAGAAAAGTACAAGAGAATAATCATAAAGAACAGAGAAACTGCTATTGTTTTCACTGAGTAGCGTCCTCACTTTCTCACGCATACAAAGAAATACATGGTTGACGATTTTGTATTAGGAATAGGTACGACATGAAAATTAAAATTGTCTTAACTGAAGTTGTTGAATGTTTACTGCACATTTATAGAAGTGATTTTGCACAATGTCTATTCGTGTTTGACAGAGCATCATTTAACGTTGATGCACCCACGCTGGTGCTCGGTGGTCAGTAATGTGCACTGTTGGGGGGAACACGCAAGCTGGTGGTGAGACGCATGCCGCGTGACGCTAACTGGTGGCGAGATTTGTAAATGCAGCGCATGCGCTTAGAATTGAAATGACGGTGCACACCCAGTTTAATCTGCTACTCATCCACCTCTGCGCATGAAACCGTTAGAAAGCAGTGCTGCATTTTTCCAGTGCGATTTATCTAGCTGTCACTATACGTGCTGCTCGTCGAAATTTAAACAAGCTCGAAGAATGTGTGGTTTTGTTTGTGGGTGCAGTTCTTCGCAAGCTCTCATCATTAGGCCTGTTGATATTTTTCACATAATGTTCTATGCAGTGACTGCTTTTCATAACGAATAACGCTATAAAAATGTGTTGCATTGAACATTCGAGGCTGACTTTTTGACCATGAAATATCGGCTTGACAAAAAAACTGAAGGCCGAGTTGGTGTCAGTTAATTCACAAGGGGAAAGGAAAATCGCAAGGGCTCGTGGCTTGGTAGCGCACGCCGAGTGCATGGGCAGAGAAGTGGCAGAAAGTGCTGGTCACGCACCATGTTGATCAACCAATGCGCATGCGCCGCATTTCGAAATCTCGCCAGCAGTTCGCACTCCGTGGACTGCCGACCACGTACTTAGTTTTTACTCTAACAGTAGACCGTACTGTACGCCTGTATCCCGATGACTATCGCCCATGATCAATCATTAGGCAAACCCTTGTGGTCATCAATGTTGGTGGTAGCTGCACGGTGAGAGCGGAATGAAAGTGGTGCGACAGCCAGAAAAGCGTTATTGATTGGATGCCGAACTTGGACTCAGGTCGCCTACTCACAGCATGTTAAAAACATTGAACACCACTGCCCGCCAAGAGAGAAACGCAATGCATGCCCTGTCTTATCCGTTGGCCGACTGCGATTTTTCTCGGGGCGATCGTCAGTTGCGAACGTGGAGCTGCGGTCACGTGAAGTCGCCGTGTGTTCTAGACAAGGAGGATTAAAAAAATGACAATTTTTCTTTTATCCTCCTTGGTCCTCTATCTATTTTTGGTGGTATGGATGGATGCTTTGAGCGAGGACGATGCTTAAGGTAGGTCGCCAATTGGCAGAGTGTTAATGTGTCAACAAAATTGCACTTTTCTTATTCTAAACGCAGCTAATGAGACGGAGGTGTCGAGATGATGCTTTGAAAGAAATAATCGAGGATGTGACAGTCATAATGCATTATTTTACTTTCACCAGAGCACTGGGAGAGTCAGTGGTACGTATAAAAAGTGCGCTTTTAAAGCTTACGAAGTATGCCAAAAGAAAAAAAAATTGGACCGGTATCTGCACGTTTCACTGCAAATGTTCGTTTATTGATATGTAGGGTTTAACGTCCCAAAACCACCATATGATTATGAGAGACGCCGTAGTGGAGGGCTCCGGAAATTTCGACCACCTGGGGTTTTTTAACGTGCACCCAAATCTGAGCACACGGGTCTACAACATTTCCGCCTCCATCGGAAATGCAGCCGCCACAGCCGGGATTCGAACCCGCGCCCTGCGGGTCAGCAGCCGAGTACCTTAGCCACTAGACCACCGCGGCGGGGTTCACTGCAAATGTCGTCGAAAGGTGATAGTCTAACGTGTGGAGAAAAAGCACAAAACGTTTATTTGATGTTTTGTGTGAGAAATGAGGTGAATTGTATTCTCGAAGTGCTGCGTTAGAGAGTTTCGATACGTGCAGCGAAGGCAAACGAGTGCATCAAGGCACGTCAAAAACGAGCGCCATCTGGAAGTTATCTTTGAAAACGAAGGAAGGCGTGCGCACATGCGGAGAAAGATGCGTGCTTTTCTCGGTGGCGATGTGGAGTAGAACATAAATCGACGGGCAGGTGCCAATGTTGCAAACACTTGCCTTTTTAGGCATCGCGTGGCACTATCAGCACAGCGTGATAAACGCTACGATCCTTAGAATTACTTGTGTGTGCCTTCTCTAGTAATACAAAATATCTGCGTGTGGTTACGATGTCTCAGATATGCACATTAATTGCTTTTTAATTGACAATCGCACAATTATGAACGCTGAAACCTGAGCAATATTGGTGGGTATGCAGATAGGGTTGGTTTTAGGTATCGTTTGGGGCCGTTAGGGGGACCATTACCACGGACGAACAGACAAGTGTACAGACAGACAGACAGACAGACAGACAGACAGACAGACAGACAGACAGACAGACAGACAGACAGACAGACAGACAGGCAGGCAGGCAGGCAGGCAGGCAGGCAGGCAGACAGGCAGACAGGCAGGAAGATAGACAAACCAAAATATTGGCGTCGAAGGTCTTCAAGAAAGACTATAGCCTTAAAAAAAGTCTTGGGCACGCGGGCATCTCTCATCAAGGACGAAGTGGTCGTAGCTCTACTCTGGTTGACGAAAACTGTTTTGTGTCTTCTGATCCTTTCGTATTTTAGACGTCTTTTTTGTAGCAGCAACAAGACCCTAAACTCTGCATAAAACATTATCGTTAAAATAACTGTGCCAGTTTTTTTTTAAATGGTCAATCACTCATTCTTCAATAAATGTCAACTATAACGCTCATTTTCAATTTATTTTAGCAGCTTGGTACTTGAGTCTTTTTTTCCGCAGTTCATTTCCAAACCAGCTTCGTCTTGTGAGCCTTATCTCATGCGTTTGACGATTCGTACACGGTTTTGATTGCTGTTTGTCACCCGAATGTTCCCTTATTTACTGTGAAGAGACCGGTATGCAGAGGTGGGGTTCGCTCAATTCGGTGGCTCATACGTTGTTACTCGGCAAGACACTGAATACTGTAGCCAGATACAGATTTCCTGTAAAAGCTAATGCATTTTGATTTATTTATTCAAAATGCCTTACAGGCTCAATAAAGGGCATTTACCAGGGGGGGCATCAATAAATACGTTTCAAAAGTACAAACAAAAAGTAAAAAAAAAGAACAAAAAACAAAGAAGCAAAAATGCAAACAAATGATAAACAGCAAGGTGCAAGAAACTTATACAGTAGAAAAACGCAACGAAATCAGGGTATCACGTAAAAATTCATGGTTAGAATTGGATACAATGTTATCTGGAAGGCTGTTTTAATGTGCTATGGCTCGAGGTGATGGTGATGAGCTAAATGCCATTGTGTGACCATGAATGCGCCTGAAAGTACGTGAGCTCTAAGTGCGTTGAGATATTCGCAAAGGGACATGAAGTGGCAAAGAGTGGCATTTGTTACTGTAGGTGTACTTATGAAATAAACATTTACGTTGGAAACACATCCTTGGCACTTTAACGCGCAGCTGAGCATATGCATTATGTAAGCTCACTTCGCAAGAGTTTGTAATTACAGATATAAGCCATAGAACCACGGTCTCAAACAGATTCGGTTTAAAAGGTTCGTGGGCAAGCCTGCATGGATAATTGTCTCAACATGGAAAAAGCCGACGCCCGCTGTCCCTCAGGTGGAGCTGACCAAATAAAAAAAAAGTGAGAATATCACGTAATACGCTGTTGAAACACTCTGGATATTTCCATATTTTTCCAGATCCGCATGCGAGGTCAAAAGCCGTGTTTTTATTAATAGGCTGTTTTTATTAATAGTTTGGTTTAATGCAAAATTTAACTTACGATGCAATATTAGACGCATCAGTCTCATCTGTGAAATTCCGTAAAGAGACACTGTGCAATAAAAAAGAGAAAGAAAGCACAGCATATCCACGGAGTGATTGGTGATGAGTGGGGCGAAGCGTCCGCCAGCGCGCCCGTGCTTCCATCCATCCGTTCATTCTTGCTTCCGTCCGTCCGCTCGACCATCCATGCGTCCATCCATGCGTCCGTCCATCTGTCCATCCGCGAGTCCGTACATCCGTCTGTCCGTCCGTTCGTGCATCCATCTGTCCGCGCGTCTGTCCATATCACCGTCTACCTTCTTTTCTGTCTGTCCGTGCGTCTTTGCGTCCATCTAGTGCACACTCCAAGTATCGCCATCTCTCATCTCGCCTCCCCTGTGGCACATACCCGTTCTATAGCGAGTATGTGCCACTGGTGGCTACTTACACCTACGGAGGACGAAAAGACTCAAACCCTAAGGAGTTTCGTCCTTATAAAAGAACAAAAAGAAAGAAGGAACACAGCATACCCTCACAACCGCAAGCATTTTCTTCGCAGTAGATAACAATACTTCATTAAGTGTTGCTGCAGGGTGTCGGCACGAAATATTTTACGTTGCAGTTTTGTTACGTTTCACCGTGAAAAGTTCAGTTTCTGCACCGCAATAAATATGTTTCTTAACATTTCGTAACGTTATTTATTGTAAAGTTCGTAAGGTTATCTATTGTAATGTAAAGTATATATATAACGACAAATCTGGGTTACTACGAGCTCTTACTATTCCATGCTTACTGCATCGGATCTTTCCGACTACTGCTACAACCTGAACAATGCATAGCTGTTCACAGAGAATGAAGTCTGTTTTCCTTTTTAGTTTCACCTTCAGAACTTCGCTGCATTTATTTAAGGTGACCTTATTTTCTGATTAAGCTATTCAACATCCGTAAATTATCATGTTGTGTGAACTCTACTAATAACTTCCCTCTGGAATTTCTAGAGCCAATGCCGAATTCCCCGCTGCATAATCTATGGCCTGTTTTTTGCCTACCTTGGCGTTAAAGTTAGGCTAGCCTAGCTGTACTATTCAAAAAAATTAGAGGGTGTTAAGAGGGTT